ATGCTAAAAGCATCTTAAGGAGTCATCTAAAAAGTATGATCCTTTACTACCCATGCATTAATATGAACTTGCATCCCCATATCGGTGCTCAATACTACTCCCAAAAATATACATAGCTCATATGTTTTAAAAACAATCTTACTTCTTTGGTTTGAGATAATTACTCAAAACTTAGTATAAAAGCTCTCTTGGAATCAATGTTCCCTTTTCTTGCTCAAATGTGAAAACATTTATAAACTCCTTCGGAATACTTAGTTCCCTTATATCTTTTTGAGAAATGAACTCAACTCTTTACTCTTTGCTTAACTTGAAAACTTGAGCCTTAAAACGAAGTTTAAATGTTTATTAAAGACTCTTGAAAACTTTAGGAAGCTTTGCTTTGTCTTTCTTCTTAACTTCTAGACTTGACTCTTAACTTCTTTGACTTTGATCTTAACTTTCCTTGAATTGGATTATGGATTCAAGGTTTATGATCTTATGTTTAGGGATGATTTCTAGATGTTTAGAAGTCATTTAGAGTAGTTAGAATCAATGGAAAGTGTTAGAACACTTCAGAATAACTTAAACGGGATAAAATACGAAAACTGGTGAAAAACACCAATTACTGGGGCTCATTTCTGGCGTATTGCTGGCGCGCTGCCCCAGCCTTCCTGGTGCTATGGGGGCAAATCACGCCAGCCTCCCTTTCAGGCAAAACTCAGACGAACTTCTGGTCGCGTTTTCTGACCCTAAATCGTTTTAATCCGATTCTTTTTCCCAAATTCACTTTAGATTCATGTACCCAAATCATATACACAAAATTTAACTCAAACAACTCAAGGAAACAACACTTAATCATCAAGAAACTCCTAAATCCCAACTCATATTCAAGAATGAAATCAATTCAAGAACAACTATCAAGAACATCAATTTCTCAATTATTTTAGGATGAAAACACGCTGAATTAAACATGATTGGTGTGTGGGTGAACTTACCCAACGCTATGTGATCTCATATACCTTGTAGGGATCACCCCCGACGAAATCCACAAGCTAAACTCGACGATCTTGACGATTTCCTTGCTTCTCCTTCTCTTTTCTCCCCTTCTCTAAAACCCTAACTCTTTTCCAAAAGTGTAAAAATGACCAAGTTCAGTTTAGACCCTTAATTAATTCACTATAACGAATTAAAATAAAAGGGTAAGGAAAAGACCAAACTACCCTTCAAAAATCCGGATTTGGACTTTCCTTAAACCAACAGCCCAACTTCCAAAGGGCATAACTCATTCATCCGAACTCGGAATCGTGCAAACTTGGCGGCGTTGGAAAGATATATCCAAGGTATTTCTAACCATATCAAGAGATTCTCCTAAATCATCCTGATATAGGAGTTATGGCCATTTAAAAATGGCTACAACTCACTTTCTTAACTTTACACAAAATTTCCAGATTTCCTTATTCTTTCCAAAAATCAATATTTTCATATTTTAAACTCTTTATACTCGTTTCTAGGTGCGAGATGTTACACCTTCAATCGTAGAAATTCAGGCTGATTCATCCGATCAAAGTCTCGGACCCTAGTTGCAGTAGATCCACCACTGTGTTAGTAGGAACTAGGACTTACTGATTGTTCTGATTGGCCACATTCTGAGCCAAGAGCTAGATCGCATTCAAACATTTTGCATTTGTAACCTAATGGTTCAGGACTGGAGGAACTGTGTTAGCATTGTGTGCATTATCATTCCATTTGTTATCTCTACGAGGAGGCATGATCTGAAAAGCATAACAACGGATTAGAAAGGGGATCATACCCACACACGATCAGAATAGAAAAGATGGTGAAGTTTTTCCTTAAGACACTTTGTAACCTCTCTCTCATAGATGTGGTGCACTTCACACCCATGAAAGAGACTCTACTTAGTGCGGCTTTCAGACATCCTAGGACTCTTGAACCTAATGTTATAATACCATGTTTTTCATGACCCGAGGCTACCCCCTTGATGTAACACGGGACCTAGGATCACGAGTGACCACATGTTAACCCTGAGTCTGGCATATCATAAGCATACTTAAAATGTAATTATATCAACATGAACTATGCATAAACCATACTAAGAGTTTAACTGGGAAATGTGGGAAACCCAACTATTGTGAATGTATAAACCATACTAAGAGTTTAATAACAACTGAAAGATAAACTCAACAATCCAAGCTGATTCTACTAGTATGTCTGAAAAAGCCTCTAACTGAGTTGAGTTACAGGTACATGCCCTCCAGTTTACTCTAACAAAAACTGAAACTGAAGTGTAAATATTGAAATGAAAGCATGTCTATTGTCTTTCAAGTATGAGGACTCACCACTGAAGCTGTTGAAATGGAGACCGAGAATCGATCTAAGCGTGATCTGGATGCTAAGTACCTGAACCTACATCATGAAAGGATGTAGCACAGAGTATGCGTCAGTACTTGGAATATACTGAGCAGGCAGGATATAGATACTAAGCTGAACAAATATATATATACACATTGAACAAAGCATAAGTGAGCAATACTGTAAGCTGAGCAAGAAAGTAAATACTGAAAAGATAATTGAAAAGCTAAACTGAATGCAATGACCAAGTACTAATCATAAAAATGACTTGCTAGACTGAATACTGAAGTATATATTGAAAACCTGGTCAAATGCATAGAGAGTTTGATTGTGGGAGCTACTATAAACCGACATAAAACCATGTGAGCTAAACGTGGAGTCCGATGTATACGCCCCATCGAGTGGACCCAATATACCTTGCCAGGGGTATAAAGGCATTACTGGTATGATCACTAAATCTGATGCCCACAGAGGGGACTTACACTCTTATGGGGATACATAGTTCTGGAACTGTGAGGGTATGTTGAACCCCAGTCCAAGTCGGTGCTAAGTCTACTCCCAACTGAATATTTATATGACTGTAATGTAACTAAAATACTAAATAGCTCAAAATACTAACATGCTAACTGAGAATGCAAATATTGGTAATGTGACATTCGGAATCTGAAACATGATTATCAGTTTAACTGACCTAGCAAGTGCAATTCATGAAGAGAATCTACACAAACTAGGGTTCTGATTACTATGCAGGGAATTATACTAAAATTATCAAGACAAGTTATTTAGATCAAGGGAACCATAATCACAATAAATCTTGAAAATCTAGAAACCCTAGGTCTGAACAGTTTATGAGAATCTGAAGAACTAACTGAAAACTAAGGACCTAGTGTATGAAAGGAATCCACTAGTTAAATCCCACATACCTGGTGATGAAGTCTACAGATAAATCCTTCGATTTCAAGATTGTAACTTGAACAAAACCTTCTGCTCGTTCTTGAGAGGCTGGTCGACTTTCCTCTTCTTTTTTACTCTAATTTTGATGATTTTTTGGTGAATAGAGGTTTTAGGTAGGTTCTGACTAAATTAATAGGCTTACTCTGCGTAAAACAGCGTCGTTTAGGTATTAAACGACGTAGTTTAAATGTCCAAAGCATAGGAGAAAGACAAAAACCGACCCTAACTTAGCAGCCGACGAGGCCATCGACAGCCCCTGACCGATGGACCGTGGACTGACCGACGGTCCATCCTGGCAGTGCGTCATTTGCGTCTGAGTCTAGGTTAGGTGGTCACGATCCACGGACCATGGTTCCACCTACAATCCGTAGGTCCGGCCGTGGGTCATGATTTTTTCTAGGGTTTTGGGTGGCCAACCATGGACCAGACCTATGGTCCGTGGCCGAAACCACGGGCCGTGGTTTGGCCTCCATCGGTGGCACCTGCAAGTTCTGAAAATCTGTAATGGCTCTTTCTCGAATCCGGGTTGTTACAACAAAGATGGAACTTTAAGTAAAATTCAAGAAATATGAGACTATAAATAAAATATTTTCCTTCAAAGATCTATTCTCAATAATTAGAAAGTTTTAATTATGACCAATAATTCTGTAAGATTTTCTTAAAAACATTTATGCAACAAAATTTCGACCAAGGAGAAAAAAGCAACATATATCAATGGTTCACATAACATGTAAACTATAATGTATTTGTGGTACAAATAATGCACAAATCATTTACCCCTAAAAGCCTCTTAGAAGTTAAGCTAGTGAATATATGGAAACAAGAACATGTGTATTCTTACGTCATGAAGCATGTAGAGCATATAACCCTACAAGATGGGGGCGCACATATTATGAACTAGCTATGAAAACTAGTGATAAAAAGCAGATTTGATGTAAGGCATGTAACCTGTGAATAAATGAGCTATATGACACTTAGCATGTAAGCTAGTAAACTATGACACAAGAATCATGAAAAATCCTATATGTAGGCAAACAAAAAAATATACATGTATGATCTAATGTTAACTTCTGCCTAACTAGTTCCTCTACAACTTACAGGATCATTCCTCAAGTCCTGCGAAGAGTTGTACCCTAAGGAGGAGTTCTATTTAACATATGTACCAATATAGTTTAGGTTGTTCAAATAACTTTCTTCTATACTTTAAATGTGATAATTACTTTGCCAAGGATAACTACCTTCTACTTTATCTTTTACTATTTTAAGAACTCAGATAGAGCTCAACTTAAGCCTAACTCCACAATATTCTCCAATTTTAACCTTTGATATCATAATAAATTTCATCATCACTATTACAGTCATCACATCATATATTCCTAAAAGTGGAAAGCTCCAAAGTGCCAAGTTGGATTACCATTTTACCCCTACTCTATATAAAAATATTATAAATTATATATATTAATTAATTATTAATCCAACTCAAAAGTTTATTTTTCATTTATCAATTACTATGAATTGATGCATGCTTTAGTTTGATTCGATGAAGAAGGCTATAAGAGAGAAGGAGTCGACAGCACTACTAAAAATCTACTTAGAAACGATGGACAGAAAAGCGACGGACGGCGTCGCTCCAAAAAGCGATGCCTTTTGCCACATTGTCCGTCGCTTGTTAATAAAAATAATTATTTTTTAAAATTATGCCTTCCCCGTCGTCGTCGCCGTCGCCGCCCTTCCCCGTCGTCGTCGCCGTCGCCGCCCTTCCCCGTCGTCGTCGCCGTCGCCGCCCTTCCCCGTCGTCGTCGCCGTCGCCGCCCTTCCCCGTCGTCGTCGCCGTCGCCGCCCTTCCCCGTCGTCGTCGCCGTCGCCGCCCTTCCCCGTCGTCGTCGCCGTCGCCGCCCTTCCCCGTCGTCGTCGCCGTCGCCGCCCTTCCCCGTCGTCGTCGCCGTCGCCGCCCTTCCCCGTCGTCGTCGCCGTCGCCGCCCTTCCCCGTCGTCGTCGCCGTCGCCGCCCTTCCCCGTCGTCGTCGCCGTCGCCGCCCTTCCCCGTCGTCGTCGCCGTCGCCGCCCTTCCCCGTCGTCGTCGCCGTCGCCGCCCTTCCCCGTCGTCGTCGCCGTCGCCGCCCTTCCCCGTCGTCGTCGCCGTCGCCGCCCTTCCCCGTCGCTGATCATCGTCCTCTCTGAGTGCTGCCCTTGCCCGTCGCCTGCCGCCTTCGCCGGTCGCCGTCGCTACTGGTAGGGTTAAATTTTAGTTTTTTTTTTCATTCTAGTGATTATAATTGATTGTTTGTTAGTATATTATTGTTTTTGTTTGTTGGGTTGTGTTATTCAATTGTTAATTTGATTTTATTATTGTTAGTTAGGTATAGATAATTGAAGATTTTTATTTTAGGGTTTTTAAAAAAATTATTGGGCATTTTTGAATTGGGCATTGTTAGTTAGTGAAGAATTAGCAATTTTTTATTTTAGAACTAGTTTAAACTTGAGAATATGTAATTTGAGGTTAAATTGAGATTTTTTTGGATTTGATTTTAGGACTAGTTAGTAAAGTGTTAATTGAAGTTAGAAATTAGTAATTGAAGTGTTATGAGTAGATGACGAATGTTTGAATGTCATGAATTTAGATGATGAATGTTTGAATGTCATGAACCTACAACTTGAACTTGAACTTAGAATTTGAAGTGTAACTTAGAATTTGAACGTGAACTTAGAACTTGAACGTGAACTTAGAACTTG